TTGAATACTGTACTCGTATATCTAAATTCTTCGTCACAAGGTAATAAGATATGTGTGAAGTCATACGCTTTAAATAAATCAAGTACATGTTTGCACTGTTCTACTTTCTGTTTAACTTCACGGGATAACACAAACAGAAAGAGTTCTTCATTTATAAAGAGTATAAAAATTGAACTTAACAAAAAATTTTATGGGCTTCAATGTTGATTTTATATATTGTAGTTTTTTATACAATTACTTACAATTTTTTTGATCTGATCAAAACTCGAATATTGGCAGAGCAAAAGTTTGCGTTCAACTTTTTTTAAATACCGCCATTTTGCAAATTTTTGATTTGTTTCGACCGTAGGTCATTGTACGGACAATATCTTCTTGTGAGAATTTTTTAAGTTTCATCCACGTAGAAGGACGTTATCAATGAAGCAGTGGAGGAACTTTTTTAGCGTTGTCGGAGATCTCGTGTAACTCGAAAAATATTTAATTATTAATGGATCAATCGAAATATTATTAATGATCAATTAATATTAATGGATCAATCGAAAGCCGCAGCTTATCGCCTCTTACCCACATTTGATATAGTATTTCTTATGTGTACGGAATATTTTATGAGTGAGGTTTTTTGGTAATATATTCTATACCAAATATACAAGATCCCAAAAGAATTATCTTACTAGAACAACGCTTTATAAACTCACACTTACGCACTACCTAAAATTTTATTTTTTACCATTGAAATGTATATGATATCAAATCAGGGAAAAATTTTGAACTGAATCTGATTTTCTATATATTTATAGAAATTACATTCTGGACCACCTCCCTGCAGGAATGTTTCTAATAGATTATACATTTTATTAACTAAATAAATATATAAATATAAATTAGAAATTTACCACTATTTATGCTTTCATCACATCTGTATTAAATTTGCTTTCTCGTTGATGTTGGGTGGAAAAAATTTGTTTTGTACGATTTTGAAAACAACAATATATAAATCAGTTCACATATAGATTTGTAGTCAAAAATCTTTTATCAGATTATACCGATTAATAGCAAAACTTGACAGTTAATAAGATGACAGAAACATCTCATTCAAATATTTAAAATTAAATCTGTTGACTTTCATGCGCAAGTTTTTGAATATGCAGTTTAAAATGCTCCAACCTTCAATTTTTTGGAACTTAGAAGTGAACTTTTAGAGCTTTGGCTTTTGTCTGGAAATCCAATTTCTTCGCTAATTCTGCCTCGAGGCACAGTGTTGCTAGTCCTGAAATCTTGTCCTGTCACGAGCTTGATCAATGAAAATTTTTGGTCCTAGTTAGAGCACTAAACGAAAGTTCACCAATTGAAACAGAAACTTCTCTCCTTTCCACAAATAATACTGTGTCACTAAAAGTGTCACGAAGAAAGGGTGTTTTTTCTCTAATTTTTTTTTCTTCTTTAGTACATTCTAATTCTTAACTATTCACTTAATTTCTTGGATATGAGCCCTTCAAGAACTCCCGGTCAGAGGAGAAATTTTTCCCGTCAACCGTAACGTTTTGCTGCATCACACAACAAAAGCACAGCAAATCCATCGAGTCAATCAACAGTTAATGGACAATTATTTTTTATTTGTTAATAATTTTCTACACTAAATCAACATTATTAATCAATAAGAAGCGAGTAATAAACGAGGAAATCGCTCTGCTTCATAGTCAATCAAACTTCAAATTACTTTTCTTATGTATCGAGCGCAATTTCTTCATCATATCGTCGTTGAGTGTCTATCAACGCTCAAATGTGACGCTTAATCGCGATTGAAATCACTCATACGCCATTGCTTTCCGCTAAACAGAGATGAAATTTTTATGAAAACTGCATTTAGAACGCATGAGATATGCGAATGTGTGCAGCACCAGCATATGTAGAAATCAAAGTGTTTGCAAAGCACAATGAGACAGCGAGTCAGCGCGAGCAAAATCAACATGCATAAATTTACATGGCATTAATATCGCGTATACGCAGTGTGAAACCATTCAAGCTCGCGTGCATCCGTGTCATTTGTACTACACTACATGCCGTTGGAGTGGCTGGCGCGCCTCTAAAAGTTTGCATAAAAGATATATAAATTAAGTGTGGCGTTTTCATATTAACTTTTCACTTTTGAAGCATCAAAGTAGTTTAGCAAAAAAAAAAAACAAAAAAATTCAAATAAAACTGTCATTCTCATTATACACGGTGAACTTGAGCGTATGAGTGACTGCCAGCAGCACTTGTAATGCAAATGTATTGTGACAAAGTGACATAGATGTATGTATATTTAACATATGTGCGTGTGTGTGTGTAAGTGACATCTAGCAATTACAACCGCCATTGTTAGTTAAATAAATGCTGCTGCTTAATTCATTTTCATTGCAATGCCGTTATGACAACAATGCGTAGGAATACAGCAACAATTTACTTCTCTCATTTACGCATCACTCAACTGTTTATTTGTTTGGATTTGACTTTTCTTAGTTGCATTACCCCACCGCCAAAGGCATATACTTCTCATACATAAGTACATATGTATGCGTGCACCGCCAGGTATGTCTGTTTAATTGGCGATGGTTGCAATTGTTGTCCATTTGTGGCTTCGTGTTTAATTGTCTGCATTTGACCAAAGTTTTCTCATTTCCAAATTTTAAGCTTATAAATGTCGTTGCAGACACAGTGCCGTGAAGGCACAGACAGAGGGTGAAGCGCACAGGTAGATAAATTGAAGCGTGTACCAGCGGCTGAGAGGGTGGCAACTAACCGGCTGAAGGTTTTGCTTTAGGGTTGAGTAAATTAATCAAAAAATAAAAACAAACTTTCGTATGCTCTAAAGCTAAAATGAGTGTAATGATTATTCGGAAACGTAGTTGCATTGGATTTGGCTTAAGGTCTCAGATAAAACAGTAATAAAAATGATGGTCAGTATTTTATGATTGATTTCTAGCATGCATAATTCTGTAGCGCTGCTGTTTTCTTTTCATTTAATTTTGTTTTTTGAGTTTCGTCAATTTGTGGTTCTAACACCTTCGAGATTAAAAATGTTACACTTTTCATTCCGAGGAGGTTTCAAGCAGTAACTATTCTAAGAGAGAAGAGAGAGAGAATAAAAAGTATCTCATATTGCAAATGAGATTTTTTTAAGATATAAAACTGTTACTATAAAACTTTAAAGTTAGTGTTGAGAAAAGGGATTTGAACTGATTAAACTAAAGTAACCTTTTGAGAACTAGAAAAGTAAAAGTCTGTTTCAAATATTTTAACAAGTCTCAGCATTTGACTTAAATATAAAATTGTGAAGAGATGCGCTTTAAAACTCAGTTGCTAAATAACAACTAACTGAAGCTCCAAACAAGTTCAACAACTTCCAACTGGTTTAATTCAGTTCATTTTGTAATTGGTGTTGTTTGAAGATACAAAAAAAATACTTTTTCACTTCAAATTTATAATTCAACATCGAATGTGGCCAAATACACGGAAAAAATGTTGTCTTTAAATTTTTGCATCAAAAATTCAATACTCATACTCTTATAATTAAATATAATTAATATCTCATTGAGCTGACTTTAATACACTTGCGACACACATTTGTTGAATTATGGATTGTGCTTTCGTATAAATGTCAGAATTTATATTATGTATATTATTTATTAAAAAAAAAATAGATATTTAATAAAACAATTAAGATAATCGCATTTTTTTTTTTTTTTTGCAAAAAAGAATAATTTGGTTGTATTTAGAAACATTCTCTTACAAATAATTTTGTTTAGCAGCGGACAAAAATTACATATTTATTTCAGAGCTTGAGGACTCTATTTTATTTTTGAACTACTAAACACATTTTTATTTTTATATCTATTATCCTTATAAAAATTACATAATCTCGTATGGTGACCTTTCTTAAAAGATATTTACAATATATTATTTGTGAAATAATAGATACGGTTGCTTTTTGGCGCCCTCCATCGAATATTATAGTCGGAAAAATTGCATTTTCAACCATATCTTAGTGTTATAAAATGCTATACAAAACACAAAAAAAAAACTGAAATAAACCGAAAAAACGGTATATTTTACTACCAAAATGATTGGTGGGAAGAATACACAAGTATTGAAAGAAAGAAATTCTTGATAAATCCAAATTTCAGTACACGGAGCAAGTCTATATTCTAGATTTGTGTTCTTCAAAAAAAGCCTAGCATTTCTTAGACACAATTGACTGAATATTTCTTGAATCATCAAACCGCACTTTTAGCAAGTATTTCGGCTGTCCTAATTGAGAAGTTCTTTCTAACACTGCTTAGCTATGTTATAAGCGACACAATAATAATTAACCACACCTTAGGTGCTGCAAAAACGCAGTAAGATGCTCATATGTACATATGTATGTACACATAAATACCCAAGAAAAGTCCTTAATCACCATGAAACTTTTCCTGTCCACTTCATTTTAATTTGGACTGCTGCTGCTGCTTTGGTCTTTACTTTACTATATTTATATATATGTACACAGATATACATACATGCATGTCCATGTCGACAAATTTTTATAGATATAAATGAGTTTGCACTTTAATGTCCATTTAATTTGCGGCAACACAAATTGTTTCGCAACTGTTTCACCTTCAGCTGGGCAAGCCGTTTTTCAAAAATTTCCACTGAAACTTTGGCGGCACAAAGAAAGGCAGTGAGCTCAGCACAATTGTCTTTCTTGCAGCTAGCACTTTTCAGTTGCCACAATTGTTTCGTCCACTTGGAAAATTATGAATTTTTCAAAAAAAAAAAAGAAAATTTAGCTATGAAAAATTACTCAAACAGAAAGCGTTCTTTTACAACCGCGAATTTTTTGTGCCCCAAAAGTTCGCTTGCTCATTCGTCATGTCACATTGAGTTTTTACCTTGAGCATTTCGTATTTATTTCAATTGTTTAACTCTACTTTGTTCCATACAAACAAATTTCTAAGTTATGCTACGCACTCACTCACCAAATTATTAATCGCTTCTGCAATTAAGAGAAATTTTGCTACTCCTGCGGCCTTTAATTTGGAACTCAACGGATTTTCGTTAGAACACTGTGCCTTCGGTTGGCTGACTGCGACTGTTGCAAGTTGCTAGTTGCTGGTTGCGCGTGCGAAACGTTTGTGATATTGCCACATGCACGGGCTGTTGCTTTTATACGTCCAATTAACTGGCGTGGCGCTCGACTGTCTCTGCCGTTGTACGTTCGTGTTGCTGGATGCCGATGGCAGCGCGATGCTCGTGCGGTGGAGTGGGTGCTCAGCTGCTGGGATTCTTGTTCCATTCTCACAGTCGTGCTGCTGCACTGCGGCACTGCGACGCCGACGTCATTTCGTTACTTCGCCTAAGCGCTGCTTTTGTTATCGCGCAGCCAACGCTATCTTATCGTCGCTCCGATTGCGGCATTTCGTTTGGTTCATCCCATTGCCGCAGCCAATTCCGTTGTTTCTCTGCCAAGAAAACATTCATTTGTATTTGCTCTGATATTACTGCAAATATCAATGCCAATATGTGAGAGTGCATGTGCATGTTTGTGTGTGAGTGTAATCGCTTGTCGTTTTGTTTGCCGACTCAGTGTTGTTGTCATCTCTGTCAAATCCGCACCGCTGGACTGGAAAGACACTGCAACGCCGTTGGTGGGGGAGTGTGTAGCGAACGCTTAACCACGTGCATTCGCTTTTTTTGTGGTAATTCGCCATTTCGGCCAACTGGTTTAATTTCTAATTTTCATTGCTCACTGCTTCGCCTTTTATTTTGGAGAATTTCTTAGAAGTACTGCTTAAATCTCGTTTTATTTGAATTATTTGTATTGGCTCCGCTTAATCGTACTCTTTATCTCCCACACAACATTTCTACACCGATCAAGGCATTATATGAAAGGTTTGATCTTGGTTATTGTGATAATGAATTCAAAAATAAATTTTATTATTGACGTTTTAACTCTCTCACTCTCTCTAATAATTGAACTTGGTTAAGAAACATCGGAGTTCCAATTATTATCGAAACCATATGAAGTACTAGATTCTAGAATATTTTAAGACTAGATATACGAATGATTTCCATGTACTTGTATGATAGAAAACACATACATTTTGGATTCATGATTTTATGATTATAAAACACTTGCTGTTATTGTTTTCTTAGATCATCCAGAAAACGAAGAAAGAACATTCACTCCGGCTGTACCGTAGCTATAATAACCTTCAAGGGTACTTTTCTTACAGCAACCATATTTTAACTAAATCAGAAAACGTAACCGGCCAACGGTTTGCATTTAACAAAAAAGTTTTACTTGTTCTTTTTAGCCACGTTGTTTAGTATACAATTTTCCAGTTGAATTAAGGTTATTTAATATGGAAAACGAATATATTTTCAAGTTATAAATTCTCAAAAACTAAGGTTTCAGCTCATCATGCTTATCATTTACGAGTATATATGTATATTTTATAGAATCTCCGACGTTCCCTAGGGTGTTACAAACTACGTGGCAAAATTAATATACCCTGTTCAGGTAATAAGAAACAAAAGAGTCCAAGCAAGAGTTAAAATTGATGCACAATATCAAAAAGTTGTCAGAGTTTATAGCAGTCAAATACTTTTCTCAGAAGTATAATTGTCCGTCGCTCGAGGTTTTTGAAAGTGCAGACACATCCTAGTGTTATATATACGTATAATACACTTATTAAGCATGCTTATACAGCGTTTTTGACAAAAATTCTCTGCAATGTGCATATTTTTTTTTAAATCGTGCGCTTATATTTTAATATTTAATTTACTATTTGTTTTAAGTGGTAAGTACTTGTACTTGTATATGATGCAAGTACAGTGGTGTAAACTTGACACAAACCGCTGACAAATGTCTTTGTATGATACAATCAGCACAGTTAACCAGAGGAATTTGGCTGACCTTGCTTAAGTGCAGCACTGCACATTCCCATGTTAACAATTAATTTCATGCTTGGAACAGCCAGGCCGCTGCGGGGCGTGGAAAACGACTGCTGCAAGTTTGCAATCATTTTACAACTCAATGTTAAAGCAGCATGCAGAATAATTATGCGACAGCAGAGCGGAGAGTGTGATCAAAAAAGGGTTTGCAGAAAACTTACAGTCTCAAATAGTACATACTTATGTTTATGTTCTTGCTGTCACAGCAAGGCCCAGTAAGATATGTTTGAAATGTTTTTCGATTTGTTGCAAGAGTTTTTGTGCTCTCATTGGCGCTCTTGCCGGTCCACCTACGCTCTCGGTGTTGCTTTGTTGCAGCATAACAGCAAAATTTTGTAAACAACTTGGCTATCTCGTGTCGAGCACGTGTGTTCTGTTTCCGTTTTGTCTCGCTTCATAATGGTGGCGGCAGCGCAGCACAGCAACGGCGTTAGTTATCCTGTTATGCAGCTGGCTGTAGCGCCTTGAACGCTGCTACTGATTGCAGATGACCATTTTCTGCAGTTCACTATTTTTGATTTCAGACCAATGTTTCGTTCCGCTTTTTGGGCTTATTAGTTTTCAATAAGCTCTGATTGCTTTCAACTTGCAACATTCACATACAAAGGCAGCATTTATTGAAATAAAATTAAAGAATTTGACATAATTCATCGCATTACTTTCACTAATTAAAATGTTTATTTGTTAGTGCCGCAGTTTTAGTGTTTTAAGCACACAAAACAATTTTACAAAAAATTAACAAAAAGAAGTAAGGTCAAAACCTGCGCTTATGAGCCAGAGCAATCCTAATTAAGATACATATCTACATGCATATATACTGGTTATCAGCCATTTATATGCGCATACGAATGCATATTTTCGATTGGCATTTGTTACATTTATCTCTGTATCGCAATATTTTTCCAGCTTTTCAAAAGCAACGCACACACCTGAGCTCGAATGCTGTCTCTATGTATGTTTGTATATATGTGTCTGCCTGTTCAGTTATTTGCTTCCGTGCTTGCAGATGGCACCTCAAAAACGGGATAATAAAAATGGCATTGACACACATTCCACACACGACTATGCCAAAAAATCCTAGCATTGCGAGAGTAAAAAATACCGTTAACAGGTCTGTTCGGAATTATCATGTGTGGCCTTTGAAATGGTTTCTGCTGCTATTGATTCGCTTAAACACTTTTATAATATAGTGCTTTTAAAGCTTTAGTTTGTTTAGCAATAATGAATCTCGTAATTTTTTTTTTTTATACTTATCTTAAAGTGAGCGTCACTTAAAGATAATGACTGCACAGCACTCAATCGAAACAACAGGCATTTAATTTAAATGTTTAAATTTAAAAACCAAATTGGATTAACTGAAGTCAAGAACTTAACGGGATGTAGATTTCTATATTCGGAATGTAGGTATTAGGGGAATGTCCTCTCCGAACTTTACTAAGATATCATACTAAGGTAACCCCAATTTGAGGTTTGCCTCATATTAAGAGGTTATCTACATACGTGTATTTCAAAAAATCAATGTTTTTTGCTTATATGTCGAATGTACATTTGAAAATTTCTCAAAACTTTAAACGCGCTGGTCGGTGAGAAAAATTTCTCTGAAACCGTTGGACCTTCTCAGATATCTGATCGATGGGGTAAGATTATTTATGATAATAATTTCGATTTTTTAAGTCACACTGAAGTGTAAATTTTCTCACAAAAATCGATTCTCTTTTTTGGAAATAAAGCATTTTGTTCAAAATGAAAATTTTACTAGTCCTTCGATCATTACCTATATTCATCTATTGTAATAAGATGTCCAATTGGTGTTCGCTGAGAATTTTTATACTCTCGCAACCTGTTGCTACAGAGTATAATAGTTTTGTTCACCTAACGGTTGTTTGTATCACCTAAAACTAATCGAGTTAGATATAGGGTTATATATATATAAATGATCAGGATGAAGAGACGAGTTGAAATCCGGGTGACTGTCTGTCCGTCCGTCCGTCCGTCCGTGCAAGCTCTAACTTGAGTAAAAATTGAGATATCTTTATGAAACTTGGTAAACATGTTTCTTGGTACCGTTAGACGGTTGGTATTGCAGATGGGAGTAATCGGACCACTGCCACGCCCACAAAACGCCATTAATCAAAAACAAATAACTTGCCATAACTAAGCTCCGCAATAAGCTACAAGACTGTTATTTGGTACACAGGATCACATTAGGGAGGGGCATCTGCAGTTAGAACTTTTTTATAAAAAGTGGGCGTGGTCCCGCCTCTAATAGGTTTAATGTGCATATCTCCTAAACCGCTAATGCTATAATAACAAAATTCACTTGAAGCAAATGTTTTAGCACTTCTATTGACGGTGTGAAAATAGTTGAAATCGGATGACAACTCCGCCCACTCCCCATATAACGGTACTGTTAAAAACTACTAAAAGCGCGATAAATCAAGCACTAAACACGCCAGAGACATTAAATTTTATCTCTGAGATGGTATAAATTGGCTTTATAGGAACCGCGTTCAAAATTATTCAGTGGGCGTGGCACAGCCCACTTTTAAGTGAAAACCCATATCTTGAGATCTGCTTAACCGATTTCAACCAAATTCGGTGCATAACGTTCTTTTCATGTTTCTACGTCATAGTGCGAAAATGGGCGAAATCGGACTACAACCACGCTTACTTCCCATGTAACACCATTTTCAATTCCATCTGATTCTTTCACTTTCCACTATGCAAATCAGGTAACAATGATTATATCTGGGTAAAACTTTGCGTGAATAATGCAATTAAAGTATGCCACCTTGCGGCCAAAAATTGTCTTAATCGAACCAAAACTGTTCAAACCCCTAAGTACTAAACATGTGGACCCCAGTGCCTATAGTTGACCTTCTACCGAAAATATCAGTCAATCCACAAAGAAATCTCAAATGAGTATACCATTTGACTTTGCGAGAGTATAAAATGTTCGGTTACATCCGAACTTAGCCCTTCCTTACTTGTTCATTTTTAGGTTTCATCCACATAGAAGGCCGGAATCAATGCAGCAGTGAAGGACCTTTTTTAGCGCCGTCGGAGATCTTGTATAACTAAACACATATCAAATTTTTTTTCACTGTGTATTTTCGAGATTTGTATAAATATACATTGAAATTTTCAAAACAATTGATGTAGTAGGTTACGTTTTTACCTTCACAAAAATCGACGTTTTTTAGGCTGTTACACTAGGAGTGTCCCTGAACTTCATTACTTATAGCGTTGTAGCCCCTTAAGACTCTTTGAGCAAAACCGTAAAAAATCCTATAATCTGTTCGTTGGTGGCTTGAATGAACGTAAATCTACAAAATAATGGCACGTGTAGAGTGTTTAAGTTAACGAGAGCTGCACTGGGTGTAGTGTGTATTTAAAAA